TTATATCTATCTTAAAATGTATATACAAAATTAATGTAAGTGGTGTATGAGCATTGCATAGAGAGAATTTTAACTGTGTTTCGATTAGAATATTTTTAAACCAATTTAGTGAAGATTATAATATTTAGAGTCTAATATATAAATATATAAATTTCAGACCAAAGAGTCAAGTCTATCCGGCAGTTTATTGAAGTTGTAGCTCACTTCTTGATAATATTTTTACACTAATTTATTGGATTCAAAAATATTATATAATAGCAATAAGCCATTTAAATGATTAAATTGCTATTACTAATCATTTTTTTACAATGCTTAGCTTGAATTAAAGTGTCTTATGTGTATATAGTTGAGAGTTTAATTAAATTGCATCTCCATAAGTGAGGGCCTCATAACGGTTGAATCTTATTTAAAGTACAATCTACTTCCAAATATTATTGTTGAAATGACTGAATGCTGTGAAATAAATGTTGACTCCAAATGAATATAATAAAAAAAACTAGTGGTGTGTATAGCATCGTGCCTTAAGGCGAATTGCTGAACTTTCCGTACCGTAACGAAGTGTTCGAAAAATATTAAATGTTTACAAATAGATTATTATAAATAAATACTGTAGCATTGTCTAATATTTATAGGAATTATATAAACTGAATTGCAAAGTTGAAAATATTTGTTTTAAGTATATTAGAACTTAAGTCAGAATTACAATTACAGAATTTATTTTTGATATACAAAAAAAAAATTGTAAAAAAAAGAATTGAAACAATTTTTTTTTCAAAGGCAATTATTTTGTTAGAACATGCAGAAAGTTTTTTAAATCATTTAAATCGGACGCTTAGTTCTCTCAAAATCTGCCATTTTCTGCACATTTAGCTCTGTATCTCCAAAACCGCTGAACCTGCCTTTGCCAAAAACTAATCCCACTTCTCCCTTTCATTACGAATTGAATGTTTTTCGTATCATTCAAATCCGATGCTGCGATCTATCAAAAACTCAATTTCAATTTTTCTGCATTCTTTGCTCCATATCCCAAAACGGTTGGACCTGCCTTGCCAAAAACTAAGCAGCACATCTCCCTATCAATAAAAATCGAAGGTTTTCTTTTAACCATTCAAATCGATTGATGCGTACGCCCAAAACGTAAACAAATTTTGTATCCATACATACATACACAACACACATCCATTTTTCTGAGTATGCCAAAACGTTCAGAAACCTTCAAAACGTGAAGAAATGTAAAGATTTTCAATTACGATTTTTCGACGAATACAATAAACTTACCCTACGGGAAGTTAATAATACTGGAATAATAAGGAAGTTCATGAAAATTGAACAAAGCATTAATATTTCAATTGTAAATAATTACATAAACTAGTTGGTTTGGTATTTAGCCTTGAGGCAAATTACATGACTCCCGATATGTGTAAATAATCGACTTGATCAAAAAAATGTGTAAATAATATACTTCATCAATCCTACTTTAACAAAAAAAAACGATAATAATTTTAGCAAAGTTTGACGAATTTTAAAATTAAACTACTTGTTGTAAGGCCGTATATTACAGTAAGTTCTATAAGACCATGATGTATATCGCCAAAAAAAGTTCAGTTAATTACAAGAAAACTCGGTAGATTTTCACCTAAAATTAATCAGCATCATTCCCAACTGATATCTTTCGAACAGTTTTTGATTTTTTAAAATCGGTTCGGTAGGATGAGCTTAAATGTGGACGAAAATTCACACTTTTTTCAAGAGTTAATTACAAGAAAACGGCTCGGTAGATTTTCACCTAAAATTAATCAGCATCATTCCCAACTAATATCTTTCGAACAGTTTTTGATTTTTTTAAAATCGGTTCGGTAGGATGAGCTTAAATGTGGACGAAAATTTAACACTTTTTTTCAACAGTTAATTACAGAAAACGGCTCGGTAGATTTTCACCTAAAATTAATCAGCATCATTCCCAATGATATCTTTCGAACAGTTTTTGATTTTTCAAAATCGGTTCGGTAGGATGAGCTTAATGTGGACGAAAATTTAACACTTTTTTCAGCATTTAATTACAAGAAAACGGCTCGGTAGATTTTCACCTAAAATTAATCAGCATCATCCCAAATGATATCTTTCGAACAGTTTTTGGATTCTTCAAAATCGGTTCGGTAGAATGAGCTTAATGTGGACGAAATTAACACTTTTTTTCAACAGTTAATTACAAGAAAACGGCTCGGTAGATTTTCATCTAAAATTAATCAGCATCATTCCCAACTAATATCTTTCGTACAGTTTTTGATTTTTTAAAATCGGTTCGGTAGGATGCTTAAATGTGGACGAAAATTTAACACTTTTTTTTCAGCATTTAATTACAAGAAAACGGCTCGGTAGATTTTCACCTAAATTAATCAGCATCATTCCCAAATGATATCTTTCGAACAGTTTTTTGATTTTTCAAAATCGGTTCGGTAGAATGAGCTTAAATGTGGACGAAAATTTAACACTTTTTTTCAACAGTTAATTACAAGAAAACGGCTCGGTAGATTTTCACCTAAAATTAATCAGCATCATTCCCAAATGATATCTTTCGAACAGTTTTTGATTTTTCAAAATCGGTTCGGTAGGATGAGCTTAAATGTGGACGAAAAGTTCAAAACTTTTTTTCAAATTACAAAGAAAGGCTTGGCAGATCGTTGCACAAAACTGACAAACGATAGTCCTCACCGAATACATCAAATGGCTTTTAAATTTCCAAAATCGGTTCAGGCGTTTTTGAGAAAACGTCGATCAAAAGTCTAATTTTGACAAATGCCAAAAAGACCATACTGATTTTTGCAAACTTTGAC